TTTTTTTTTTTTAGAAAAAGCAAAGCCAACCCAAAGAATGGCAGATGGAAAGATGCAAACAGCCTGAGTCCTTACTGACATCAGTGGCCTGTTGCATCAATCAGATCTGACATCTATCTCACACTTTCTATTTGTAGAAATCCATAATTGAATCAGGTATAAGTTGTTTAGAGTTCCTGAAAAAGCCAAAAAGATGGCCCTGGCCAGTGTGGCAAATTTGGTTGGGCATGGTTCCATGCCCTGGGAGGTCACCGGTTTGATCAGGACACATGCAGTCTCCATCCTTGGTAGAGGTATGCAGAAGGCAGAATCAGAATCTCGGGGTCATGGCCTGGGAATCTGAATCATGGAAACCTCTTCCTGCGATGATTTCTCAGGGCTTTTGCCCACACACCCTTGGAACTCTTCATTCTGCACATGCTACTCCTCCTGCACAAGCCTCCCTGCTCTCTGCTTTGGCCAGGATCATGATCAGCCAGTGGGAAGGCAGGCCAGGAGTGCTGCAAGGCCTGTGCTCTCCTCAGGAGCAGCCTTCACCAGTGACCTAGTGGGTGACAACTTGGGGGTGTGTACTACATGCTCCCACTGAGGTCCCCAGCAGGACTGAGCCCCAGTTGTCCACATGGAAACCACTCATCACCCCACTTGCCACTGGCTTTCTTCTCTACCCCTGCACTTTCCCCTTCCCTACCAATGTTCCCCATAATCACCTCCCAAACCAACCATATATACCCAAATCTGCTTGTGGGGAACCCAGTCTAAGATATACATAGGCTTTAAAGCTTTTTGTCAGAGGAAGCCTGCCTGAAGATATAATAGTCTTTGGGCTGAGAATGAACGAATAAGAGGACTTAGCGATAAGAAAATGTAGGGAGGAGGGATAAGCACATTCTAGCAGACTAGATGGAACAGCCTGGGCAAAGGCCTAGGGTCGGGAGCGGGCACAGCATCCCAGAAGCTGTAGAATCCTGTGTCACTGGAGCTCAGGGCACAAGGGGCCGAGAGAGGTGACCTGCTGTGGATGGAGCCACAGTGGGGAATTTGATCTGAAGGGCCATTGAAAGAATTTAACTGTTGGGCAGAAGCTGGAGTGAGCTAATATCTTGGGAAAATGTCCAAGATGCAGTGTGGGGCTCATCTGAGGTTGCACAGTTTCTTTTCAAGTCTGTGTTGAGAACCAGCCAAGTGGGAAGATTGCTCATGGGTAATCTTGGCTGCCTACCCAAGATTTCTCTGATTAGGGCAAATGCTTTCTGTTCCTTGAGGTGAGTGGTTTTCTTCTCTATGTTGGCAGCCAGAGGCAGCTGGTAGACATCCTTTCTGCTGTTACTTTGTCCTCGGAACAAGGTGGAGGGGTCTGTGAAAGCAGAACACAAGGACAGTTCCCCCATGGGCAGTCGAATCAGGCTTTACATTTGCAACCAGGTATAGCTAGGATTCACACTTCCTCCTTTGTGGGACCCAACACTGCCCTCCATGCTCTGCCATGCTATTTCAGTGCCCAGAACTCCATCCCTTTTTCTTCATGTGGGGAATTCTCCTGGTACTAAAAATGAATGCCTTCCCCTCCCTGAAGGGTTACTTACTCCTGGATGCCATCTTCCTTGCATTCCTGGGTTCTAAGGTGGATCCCATCACTTTCAAAACTTTGAAGAATGGAAGAATGAGAGTAACTAGTATTTCAAAGTCCTGTCATGTCTAATTCCAGCATCTTCTTTTTCAGACCACATTATTTAGATATAATTTTCATAAATCCACCCATTGGAAGTCTACAATTCAATGATTTTAGTAAATTTAAAACAATCCAATTTTAGAACATTTTCATCACCCCCAGAAGGTTCCCTCATGTCGCATTGAAGTCAGTTCCCACTTTCATTCTATTTCCACCCTGAGCCCCATTAATTTGCTTTCTGCCTCTATAAGCTTTTCCTTTTCAAGATATTTCATATAAATGGAATCATTTGTACCTAGTTTCTTGTATCTGGCATCTTTCAATTTTTGGAGTTCATCCATGTTGTTGTAAATATTAGCAGTTTATTTTTATTGTTGAGTAGTATTCCATTGTATGGATATACTACCTTTGTTTTTCCATTCACCCATTGATGGATATTTAGATTGTTTCTAGTTTTGGCTAATATGAATAATGCTGCTATGAACATTCAAGTACAGGTGTTTGTGTGGACATATATTTTTATTTCTCTTGGGTAGATTCTTTGGAGTGGCCAAATACCTTTTGGCTATTTCAAATGAAGCAAAGCTGCTATGAATATTTGGCCACAGGTTCCTATGTGAATATAAGTCTTTGTTTCTCTTGGATAAATGCCTAAGAGTCCAATTGCTGGAGCATATGGTAAGTCTGTTTTTAGATTTTAAAGGAACTGCCAAACTGTTTTCCAGAGTGGCTATACCATTTTATGTTACCACCAGCAATGCATGAACGCTCCAGTTTCTCTTCATCCTTGTCAGCCTTTGGTGATACCACTTTTTTTTTCACATTAGCCATTCTGGTAGGGGTGTATTAGCCCAACTATTTTTTTTTTAATCAATTCCCTTCTGTTCACCCTCACTGCCAGCACATGTCATCTCTTGTCTGGACCATTTTGATGTTCTTCCTTCTGGCCTCCCCACTTCCACTTTTAACATAATACCTCTGTTCTCCAAGAGTAGCCACAGTAATCTTTCTAAAATCACAAATAGGCCATGCTGCTCTCCTATTTAAAACACTTTGAAACCCTAACATTGACCCAGATCCTACAAGGCCCTTGAGTGACCTGCTCCCCACTCACCTCTCTGCCCTCATCTTGAATCATTCTCCCCCCAATCCCAAATGATTCGCCCACACTGTCAATAATTGCTATAAAATGACAAGCTGCATATCACCTCAGGGCCTTTGCACATTTCCAGTGTATAATCCCTCCTGGCCCCCATCCACCAGGAGCCAGCTTAGGTACCACCTCAGCAGAGAGGCCGGCACGCTCTTCTTCTCCCACACCTAGTTCTCATCACAATTCACACTTATATGTCTACTTGTGCATTTAATTATTTAATGTGTCTCCCCACATGGGCTGTTCATTGCGAGGGCAGCAACCTGTTCCATCTTGTCAATGCTGTGATGCCTGGGGCTGGGGTGGGAGTAGAGATTGACTTCAAATGGGCAAGAGGTAATCTGGGGTGATGAAGCTTTTCCAAGTCTTAATTGTGGTGATGGTTGCACAACTCTATAAATTACTAAAATCAATGAGTTATACATTGCAAGTAGATTTCATATCAATTATGTTCCCAGACCATCGCACTGTCTGGCACACAGCAAGTACTCCCTTAATAATTGCCAAAGGAATGACTTAATGAATATTTAAATAGTCTGGAGGGTGGCCTCTCCTTGGAGAAAAATTACTCTTGTCTGAGGAAGAAGATTTTAATGGACCTTTGGATTTGCAAAGCCAAAACCCTAATTTAGAATGGAAGAATACAGGCCTGTGTGGGTAAAAACTACACTGCATAATGATGTAGATACATGGGCTTTTGTTAGTTCCTGTTTTATTTTCCCTGAAGCTCAAGATAACTGCATAGACTATAAAAGTGTTGATTCTGTTCTGTTTGCTTGTTTGCTTTTGTAATTCTCTTATTGTCAGCACCCTCAGGAGTTTCTATTGGGAAGTGAGAAATCAGGTTGGGGGAAGGGGTCTGGTCATGGGGCTCCTCCAACAGGGCTCATCTTGACTATATTCTATCTAGTAAAACTACAAAAATAGGGGTTAGGCTAGATTCAGGCCCCTGGCTATGGTTTGCAGATCCTTTTCCTAGAATTCTAACTTATAGCAATCTTTGCAGCCCACACACATGCTTTTGTGTATGTGTGTGTGTGTGTGTGTGTGTGTGTGTGTGTGTGTATTTCCATTCTAAAGACCAGGGAGCTGAGCCTTGGAGAAGAAAGCTGCTTGATTGAGACTACACAGAGAATGATAGCATAGAGCATGGCCCCAGAGGTGCCTCTAATGGCCAAGGAGTCATGCTTAGATGTCAGATAGAAAGGCCCAGTAGAGAAGGAATAAGATTGCTCAAGCGACAATGGAGTCACTTATTCTGGATGGTTTGGGGATGTTTCACCAGTCAGGGGAGAAGAGCAGATAAGGAGCAAAGATCTGAGACCTGGACCACTCACCCAGTGCTTGGGCTCTCTAGGGCTTTCTCAGCTTTGTCAGATTCCAGGCCCCTGCCTGCACCATTACCTGGGCTGGACAAATATCCCGGGAGAGAGGCCATAGGTTCCCCTTCGTCCTCTGTGCTCTTGAAGACCAGTGCAAAGAAGGCAGCAAACCCCAGCACCTGGAAAATACCCATGGTGAACCCCAAGGCCAAGTTGGAAACTATCAACTACTGGTCTGAGAGAGGGTGAGACTGGGGCCACTTTTATATCCTTGTCCCAGGAGCCATACTCTGGGGAAGTCAGGTAGGAACTAGCCCATCCTCTGAGGAGAGGGCACGTGTTTATGAAGGGTGAGGGCCAGGGCTTGCATGCACCTGGCTTATACTCCAGTGTGGTGAGTTAAGCTTCCCTCCTCCCTTTCTTCCTGTATTAACTGGTTAGCCCTTATACTATCTCTGATTTAAGGATTCAGAACAGGCCTCTCCAATGAGTTTCTTTGGCATGTGAATTGTTTTGAGTTGAGGGAATCAAGGCCCTGCAAGCTCTGGAGCAATTTTTACCTCTCTCTTAAGTAATTTAAATTAGGGACCTTGCCTATAGTAAGAGTTATGACAGTTTTTATGACCTGTTTGTAGGGCAAGGTAAACTAATTGCTGAACACCTGCTGTGACCTTCCTGCAATGACCTTCCTCCCCTCTGAAGCCCCAAGGTGATTCTTAGCTCAGAGTGTCATAAATATCTCATTTTCCCTCTCTGTCTTTGAACCTCTCATGTATGTAGGTTCTCTGACTCCTTCATGTATATCAGGTTCCCATTCATATGTGTGTATTAAATTTGGTTATTTCCTCTTGTTAATCTGTCTCACGTAGATTTAACTCTTAGACCAGCTGAAAGCACCTGGAGGGTAGAGGAAAGTTTATTCCTCCCCAACAGTACCACAGTACACAAGTATAATAGGATTGTGTGGTTTGATTAGAAACAGAAAGGCCCAGGACTCTGTTCTTAAAATTCTCAGACTAGGTTGGGGGAGGTGTCAGGAACTGTTGAAATCTTCTGACAAAGGCTGTTCATGACAAGGCAGAGGGCCAAGGGTAGGTAATGGAGTAGGGGATTTGGTGAGTCTCACAGGCATAAAGACTCACTGAAAATGCCCCCTCCTTTCTTTAGCTTCCCCTAACCCCCCCCACACAGTACTCCTACCACCTGATTTTTTTCCAGGGAAAGCTGTGACCTCGAACTCCAGGCCAGGGCTCAGTATTCCTTCTACTCTGACAGTAACTTTACATTTCAGAAATAGGATTGCATCTTCTAATAGTTGACTTGGGTTTTTTATCTGAAGGTCAAATTCCTGTAAATTGCTGGCCTGTTTTACAAGTAAAAGCATCTTAGAATTGAGGAAATTTGGTGTTATTCCTATTTATATATGTAGTCTAGGGCAGGATGCTTATGACCTTAACTACTACTACTACTACTACTACTACTACTACTTCTTTTCTAGTGCTTTTATGATTTCAGAGAGAGGAAAGGAGAGGGAAAAATAGAAACTTCAATGAGAGAGAATCATTGATCGGCTGTCGCCTGTACCCTGCCTACTGGAGATTGCGCCCACAACCTAGGCATGTGCCCTGACTGGGAATCAAACCACGACCTCTTGATTCATAGGTTTACACTTAATCATTGAGCCTCACTGGCAGGATGACCTTACCTTCTTCTTTTTTAAAAAAATGTCCTTTCTATGATATTTTGTTTTTCTTTTTGTTAATCCTCACCCAAGGATATTTTCCATTGATTTTTAGGGTGAGTGGAAGAGAGGGAAAGACAGAGAGAAACATCGATGTGAGAGAAACACATCAATTGGTTGCCTCCTGCATGAGCCCTGACCAGGGCCTGGGCCAGGGGGGACCCTGCAACCAAGGTACATGCTCTTGACTAGAATCAAACCTGGGATCCTTTGGTCTGAAGGCCGATGCTGTATCCACTGAGCCAAACCAGCTAAGGCTGACCTTAACTTCTAACTTCAGGTTTCTCATCTATAAAATGGAGGCAGGGCCCTTCCTGAGAGTGATTGTGATGATGAAATGCCAGCATCTCAGTAAACCACTAAGCCTGGCCCAGAGTGAGTGGCCAAAAGCTTGGGTCATCATGGTACTCATCTTCATTATTGTTCTTGCCCTGGGACCTGCACAGAGGTGGTGTTCCATGCATTTTTCTTGAACAAGTAGATGAAGGAACAGCTGAAGTTAGAACATGGCAGCTGGCAGGAGAGAAAGTAAGGGGCCCTGACCTTCAGGGCCTGGGTGACAAACACACTCTCTACAAAGGAGACAGTCATGGAGATGAGCCACTTGAGGGAGTTGGTCTTGCCGTAGTGCAAACCATAATAGCATGGTGAAGAAGGCAGCCACACCGCTGGTGGCTGCCATACTGCTGGTGGCGGCTACCAGGAGCCAGCCCACCAGGACACACCACCAGGGCAGGCCGCGAGGGGGCTTGCTTGATCTCAGGGAGCTGTAATAGAAAGTGGATATAGTCAGGGTGACACCACCCACTGGGGTTCAAGTTCAAATCCAACTCCACCCCATTAGCTGAGTGACCTTGGCAAAGCTTGTTGACCTTAGCCAAGCTCCCTGACTTCTTAGACACTCAATTTTCTCTTCTATATCTTGTACCCACTTCAAAGGGCTATTCTATATTCTACCCAGTATACATATTGTAAAAATAATATCAGCAGAACCACTTCAAAATTGAGTCAGAGTTATCATCCCAGAGGAACTGCCTTGCACATCCTACTCCTCTATCCTTTGGAATGTTAAAACAGGGCAAAATTACCTTTGGTCTAGGCCAGTGGTTCTCAACCTTCCTAATGCCGCAACCCTTTAATACAGTTCCTCATGTTGTGCTGACCCCCAACCATAAAATTATTTTTGTTGCTACGTCATAACTGTAATTTTGCTATTGTTAAGAATCATAATGTAAATATCTGATATGCAGGATATATTTTCATTGTTACAAATTGAACATAATT